CCTCGTTGGTTCGTCGGTTTGTGCCGAGCTGAGCTAAGGGACCTATAAGCAATTTTATATGCCTACACGTATAAGTTGTCTTTACTGGTATAAAATGTGCTGACTTCATCAACCGATCCACTATTACCCAAATTAAATCATTCCCCTTCTTCGATCTTGGTAGTCCTACAATAAAGTCTATATAAATATCTTCCCACTTCCACTTCGGAACGGGTGAAGGCAATGTTCTACCTTCACTTGCTAGCACGTAAAGTACTTAACCACATACTCTGCGATCTCTTTACGCATGCCGCTCCATCAAAAGTATCTCTTCAGGTCCTTGTACATTTTTGTTGTGCCTGGATGCACTGTGTGCCTAGAACGATAAGCCTCATCAAGCAACTCCTTCTTTAGCTCTGCACTAGTGTAGGTGTAAATTTTGATTTCTCAAAATGGGGATTTCATTTGTATTGATAAGAGTAGCTTATTACAAACTAATGAATCAAAATTACAACAGAAGCAGAGAGAATTTCCTTCTTGTTTAACATGAGGACTTTGGTAGCGATAGGATGCCTCACTCAGTTCTCGCACTGAGTCTGCTTCCCTTGAATGATTCGACCGAGGTTACAGGTAAGCTTTAGTACACAGTAGAAGCTCGTGTTAATCGAGCTCGAGCCTCCAAGTTCAATAGCGATTGAGGCCGAGGATTCAATGAAGGTGCTACAGTGCAGAAATGTTGCAAAGAGCAGATCCTTCGCTCACTCGGGAGCCCAAGGCTGATGGTTTGGTTCACCGATTATATCAATGAACTGTCAGTGAACAAATCTTGAACCTCTTTTCTGTAGTCAAGAGAGGCGCTTATATAGAGGAGAGACAGCGTGGTTGCTCCCTAAATCATGCGATGTGACCATCTACTATTGAGAGACACCATGCTTCTCATTTGTACTATGAGCGGTTGCTTGATGGGTTTGGAGTATTGTACTCCTTCCCCTCACGTCGTAAGGAATAGGAAGGCCCATCCCTGTATATGTCATTATGACCACCTAGTACTCAGGAGAATCCGGTGAGATCGCTGATCGCCTAGCTATTGGTTTGAATGT